ATCTAGCAACAAGAATCAGGAGAGATTTGCAAAGAATGAAGCAAGAAGCAGAAAGACCAGAGGAGGATAGTACAGTGGCCAACACATGAGACTAGGAGGGTATCACACTGGAAGATGGCTGTGGGAGTAGGAAATCGAGAACAGAGCAAAGGAGAAGTATTGTAACAGAAGAAATAGACTAGTTTAAGTGACTAACTAGATGAGGAGCAAGGAAGAGAAAACTGCCCAATAGAGTATAGTTTTTATATTCTTTCAACCAAGAGATGAAGTAAATATTCACAAACAAGGAGAAAAGGAAAAGTGGTTTCTATTGAAGAAAGGGAAAATGGTTAAAGTTTAGAACTGCTGAATTTGAGGAACACAGACATATAGCACATGCCAATGTACACAATGGACTGAAGTTTGGGGAAAGGAAGAGAGAGATATGGAACAGAGGTGCTGACTAAGCATCCACATAGACATGAACACTCTTGAAAAACAGAAATAAAATAATCTGGAGCTGTGGCCTAAATTTGGGGAACCATTTCATTCAAGGAAGTTAGTTAGTTAGTAAAGGGGACGGAGAAGGCAGAAGGAAATTCTCAGAAGCCAGTAGGAGAATAAAACAGCTAATTTCTCAAATCTGGCTACCAAATTCAAGTCCAGAAAATCCAAATATCATGTCTGAACTGATTAAATCTCAATTCTTCCACATAATTTCAACATGAATTAAAAAAATGGGAACATCCCCAAAAGTACAAATCATTACCTATACCCAGGATCTCCAGATTTTGGACCCAATTCTAAAAGAAAAAACTCATAAATTTGGGAGCTGTGGAAATACAGCACTGTACCCTGATGTGGGGAAGCAGGCATCACGGAGATCCTATGGCTGCTGTGATACCTGGATTGTGGCAAGTTTTCTGAAGGTCCAATGGGAAAGGAACATGTGGAAATGCTGAGTGTGGCCAAAGATAAGTTTCAGTAAACTGCTAGTAAGACAATGATGGCATTGAGTGACAGGGAAATGTGACAAACTTGAGTCTATATATCACCACGGAGTACCCTCTCCTACTCGAAGAGGTGGAACTTTTGCTAAGTAGTGTTGGCATTTCATTCCCTCTTCAACAGAGGACAGGGGTGTTCTTATAATATGCTTTCCCCTAGTCTTGAGACTCATCCATTACTGCAGTGAATTGCTAGCCTGTTTCTATTCTTTTTCTTTTCTGTGCACTTTTTCCCTTTTTAACTTTATTGAATTACTAGAGGCCTGGTGCACAAAATATGTGCACTCAGCAGGGGGGGGTGGGGAGGGAGGGCATCCCTCGGCCTGGGCTGCCCCCTCTCGCAGTCCTGGAGCCCTTGGGGGATGTCTGACCTAAGCCGTCAGTCAGACATCCTTAGTGCTGCTGCAGAGGTGGGAGAGGCTCCTGCCACTTCCGCTGTGCTTGCCAGCCGTGAGCCCAGCCTGCCACTTCTGTGCTTGCCAGCCGTGAGCCCAGCTCAGGGCTTCTGGCTGAGCGGCGCTTCCCACTGTGTGAGCGCACTGACCACCAGGGGGCAGCTCCTGCATTGAGCGTCTGCCCCCTGGTGGCAGTACACATCATAGCGACAGGCTGTCCGTTTGTTCAGTGGGTCGATTTGCATATTAGCCTTTTATTATGTAGGATAGTTTACATACCATAATATCCACCCATTTTAAGTATATGATTCAATTATTTCAGTAAATTTATAGAGTTGTGAAACCATCACCCCATAACTCAGTTTCTATCACCCAAGTAAGATCTTTTAAAACCTTACAGTAACCTCCGCTACCATTTGCAGCTCCTACAAATGCCAACCTACTTTGTACCTCTATAAATTTGCTTTTTCTGGACATTCTACTTAAATGGTATATAACCTTTTGAACTGGCTTCTTTCCCTTACAAAATTTTTTTGAGATTCATGCATATTATAGCTGGTGTTTCATTCCTTTTTATTGCTGAGTAGTATCCTACTGTATGACTAGAATGCATTTTGTTTATCCATTCATCAACTGACATTTGAGTTAATTCCACTTTTAGTTATTACAAGTAATACTACTGTAAACATTTGTAAACGAGTCTTTTTATAGACATATATTTTCCTTTCTGTTGGGTAGGTATATAAGTGAAATTGCTTGGTCATATGACAAATTAAGGTTTAACTTTAAAAAAATGCTTTTATTGATTTCAGAGAGAGGAAGGGAGAGAAAGATATAGAAACATAAATTATGAGAGAGAATCATTGATTGACTGCCTCCTGCATGTCCCCTATTGGGGATTAAGCCCACAACCCAGACATGTGCCCTGACCAGAAATCGAACCATGACCTCCTGGTTCATCCACTGAGCCACACCATCTGGGCAAGGTTTAACTTTTTAAGAAAATACCAAACTGTAGAGTGGCCATATCATTTTAAATTTCCACCAGCGATTTATGAGGTTCCTGTTTCTCCATATCCATGGCAAAACTTGTTATTATCTAATTTATAGCCATTTCCAGTAGGTGTAAAATAGTATCTCATTGTGGTTTTTATTTGAATTTCCCTAATGATTAATGATGTTGACCATCTTTTCATGTGTTTTTTGATGAAATGTCTATATAAATCTTAGACCATTTTAAAAATTGGGTGGTTTTCTTATTAGGATGTTGTGAAAGTTCTTTGTATGCATATTCTGAAGATCAGAAATGTGATATACAAATATTTTCTCCCTGTCTCTTTTCCATGTCCTCTGTACTGTTAACAGTCTTTTATCTCTCTTACTGCTGCTTGTGGCTCACCCACTTCCAGGCACCCTTCTCTTCTAGTGGGCACATGCCATACTGGAATCCTTGCTGTCAAGTATAAGTGAAGCCAAGAGGAGGAAAACCACATAACTCAGGAACAGAGAAACATAAAACTAAAGCTGTGTTTGTCAGTAAACACCTTGAATCTTTCCATGAGAAGCTGAACTCAAGAAAAAAATTTACTGAAATCCAAGGACCATGTCTGTAGCATACCACCCTGAATGCGCCCAATCTCATCTGAAACCCAAGGACTATGATGAAAAAGTTTAGAAAATTAACTGCCTCCATCCTCCCCTTCCCCCCACTAAGCTTTAATAAATAAAAATAGGATTTCATCTCCTTTCCTTATTCCTTATTAAAAAAAAAATAGTGGAACACTGGCACCTAAACCAGAGGGACTCTAAACGCCCTAATCATTATTTATGTTCCATTAACCAAAAGATACCTTTTGAGTACCCGCTATGTACCACATATTATAGCCATTTAAGGTGAGGCACAGATAGGATATCTAAACTCTCAAAATAAATAATTTGGGGCATTTGGGGAGGTCACTGAAAACTTGGAAACAATTTTTTCCATTTACTACCAAATCCAAAGTCTAGCACCAAATTTCATGTGATTCTAGGAAACAGAAGAAGAGAAAGACAAAGTAACAGGGAAAAAATAAGTGCCTCCCCACTTGCTCCCAATTCTGAAATAAACTTTCGCCTCCAAAGTGCTCTTTCCCAGCTGACTCAGCAAACGTAACTGCTCACACAAACCAGAGATTGCTTTGCACTTGCAAGGGGTGAGCTTACATGGGTCCCTTTGCAGCTGTGTGGTATATGAGCAACCTCAGTGAGGGGCACATGGAAGTCTCACGTGGTTTTATTTCAGAGGAACAGTGTGACTTCCCCTAAAAGTAAACCCTTCCAAAAGCACATTTCCCTATAGGAGGACACTTCCAAAACAGTTTCCAGGACTTCTCTCTTTGATCGATATCTGAGGGAAGCCAGAAATCAGGGAATAAATAAGGCTGCTGCAGGAGAAGTGGGGTACTGTAATGTTTTACAGTATTCAGCATCAGATCTTTGTAAAAATGTTGTGAGGAATCCAAGGCTTGGAAAAGTTAGGTATTCAGCCAAAATCACAGTCCAGTCATTCAAATGTTATTTGCCCAAATTCAAAGTCTGAGTTTGGATGAAATATAGTTCTCATGAAGAAATACAAGAATTTATAAGACAAACATTCAAATGATATTAAATTCTTGCCCTAGCCGGTTTGACTCAGACTGAAGGATCAGGGGTTTGAATCTGGTTAAGGTCACATACCTCAGTTGCAGGCTCGATCCCTGGCCCTGGTCTATGCCGTGGTAGGGGTACATGCAGGAGGCAACCAACTGATGTGTCTCTCTCACATCGATGTTTCTCTCTCTATGTCTCTCCCTGTCCTTTCCACACTCTCTAAAACTCAACAGAAAAATAACCTTCGGTGAGGATTAACAAATAAATAAATAAATTCTTAATGGGAATCTATGTTTGAGGAAAACACAGAAGCTCACATAAATTTGAATTCTGACAGGGATTTTCTAAAGCTTTGCAGATTCCAGAAAGTCCGATTCCAGGAATGTTAGGTGACTTGATGGATGTCACACAGCTGGTTAAGGTAAAGCCAGGACTAGAACCCCAGAAATTACAAGAACAGGATGCTGCATGCATTTGAGCTTATAGAACACTCCTGCATATATCAGTGTTAAATTTTTAAAGTATTTTTTTAAAATCTCCAATTGCATAAAGTCCCATCATATATGCACTTAAATATATGTGCTCAGGTCAGAGGGGAGCATGAGGTGCAGGCAAGAAAGGGGAGACACTAATTAACATGTCCTGAGTGCACTCTTGGCCTGGGTTCTGAGTGTCTCACATAATCCTTACTGCAGTCCTACCACGTGATCACTAACAGTGCCATTTCAGACAGGAGACACGGAGGCAAAGAGACCATGAGGAACTTTCCCATGGCACAGAGGCATTCAAATGGAGAGCATACATACAAATAAGTGGTCCATGCTTCATGGCGGGCTGAGAGAGGACACAAAAATAGACAACTCTTGTGTGGCAAAGTGTTTGTGTCCAAAGAGTATACATTTTCTGAATCACATATATATGATTTTAACTGTATAGATAAAAATATTGTGTATTTGAATTCCTTCCCAACTGTTTCATTTTCTTTTGCCAGAAATTAAACCAGGAATAACCTATGCAGAACCCTTGCCTCAACCATCCCCCAGTATTTCCTGACACATATTTTTGCTGACAGTCCATCCTAACTAAAGAATGGGGTTCAACCTGACATTTACAAAATTACCAGGTAAGCCATAGGGAAAACTGCAAAGTACTTGATCGATAACTGTTATTCATACTATGTGGCAATTTGGGGGTTTTATAGGCCACTGAACCAACTAACAACATAAGCCAGCATTTAGCCTTGCCCTTCATCAAGTATAAAGCAGCACCCAGACAGGATGGCATACTGAGGAACGAGTAACTAGCTATCCCTTCACTTTAACCTGTGTTTCACCTAGAGACCATTGAAAAGGACAAGAAAGATTAAATTAATAACATCTGGGGAAGATTTTTATACCTCAACTGCAAAGTACATATTACTTTGCAGAGGTAATAAGTCTAAACCAAGGTTCACTGAGGTTACCCAGGAGGCCAAAGGCAACATCTACCATTGTACTGGGTAACTATTTAGAAAACGATCTTGCAAGGGCAGTTGTGCCATGGTAGTAACACCCTATAATTTGCATGACTTTAGTATTTCATTCCCACCTGACAGGAGAGCAGCAGTGACATATTGTTGATGCTTTCACATTCTGTGCCAAGACTGACATGCCCCAATGAGCAATAATATAGCTTACGATTCCTCACCACTCTTTCTATCATTCCTCATGCGACTGCCGCTAATGGGACAGATTGTAATGAGTGCCTGAGTTAGAGAGCGAACACCTAGGTACTAGATACTGTGCACAACGTGTTTGCAGACTATTGAACTTTCAGATGGTCCAGCAAAATTAATCTCTATGCCATTTTACAGTCAGGAAGTGACTAAACCAGCACTGCCAAGTAGGACTTTCTTCAATGATGAAAATTCCCTTCACCTGCACCATCTGATACAGTCACTGCATGCAGTTAATGCTCTATCTTGCAGCAAATCCTATGCCTTCCTCCAGCACACACAGATACACACAGACCCCCTTTCACACAAACACAGGCAGCCACAGTTTACACCCTAACACACATACCTCAATACCACTCACATAAACTCGCACAAAAGCTAATTTACTATGGAACTCCAGTGCCTGAGTCATTGTTAATTTAATGTAAAAGGAGATGGAGGAGGGGAGCAGGGGAGAAAATAACAAAGAAATGTTTACCCTCAACTATCACTCTGCATCAAAGTCAACACTAAGTAATACAGAAAATGACATCCTAGTAAACAAGAAGCATGTGAGAAAATAGCCTTCACTGTAAAACTGGCTTCTAGTTCCTCTTAATTGAATCCTCAAGGTACCTGACATTAAAAATGTTCCCTTATCTGGCCGCATTCCTCATGGACAGTGAAGTAGGCGGGGTAATACTGGCTGGGTGAGACAGCCACTCCTTTCCACGCCTTTGCTCCAGAGCAGGAGCAGAGCAGGGACACGCCTCTGAGCACACACACAAGCCCGGGAGCCTGGGGCCCCACACAGAAGGGAGAAATGATGTAGGACAGGGAGCCTGGGAGCCCACACAGAAGGGAGAAATGATGTAGGACAGGGAGCCTGGGAGCCCACACAGAAGGGAGAAATGATGTAGGACAGGGAGCCTGGGGGCCCCACACAGAAGGGAGAAATGATGGTACAGCTGGCAGAAAAAAATCATGACACAGATTTAGTTCTAAAACAAAATTGAGACAAAACTCTCTATTAAGTTTAAAGCTTTCGAGAGCAGCCCACACATGACTTTTCTTGCTCCTTAGGAACCAGTTTTTTCTTTCTATTAGCATATCCTATATAATAAAAGAGAAACATGTAAATTGACCGTCCCTCTGCTACACTCACCAGCCAATCAGGAGTATGCAAATTAACCTGACAAAGATGGTGGGTTAATTTGCATACACAGACACTGGGTGGAGAGCAGAGCGGGAGAGCCGGCGGAGAGTGGAGTGGCTTGGGGAACTTGGCTCCCCAAGCTGCCAGACAGAGAGCAGAGAGGGAGAGCTGGCGGCTTGGAGGACTTGGCAGAATGGGAGGCCATGGGATGGAGACAGAGCAGGAAGGGAAAACCAAGAGCGCGGGGAGCACCAGGAATTCTGGGAATAGTAGTTCTGGTGGCAGCCCCAGGACTGGAAGTGGAAGCCCAGAGCGTGGGGAGCACCAGGAATGCTGGGAATCGTAGTTCTGGTGGCAGACGGATCTCATAGACCAGCGGTTCTCAACCTGTGGGTCACGACCCCTTTGGGGGTCGAACGACCCTTTCACAGGGGTCGCCTAAGACCATCGGAAAACACATATATAATTACATATTGTTTTTGTGATTAATCACTATGCTTTAATTATGTTCAATTTGTAACAATGAAAATACATCCTGCATATCAGATATTTACATTACGATTCATAACAGTAGCAAAATTACAGTTATGAAGTAGCAACAAAAATAATGTTATGGTTGGGGGTCACCACAACATGAGGAACTGTATTAAAGGGTCGCGGCATGAGGAAGGTTGAGAACCACTGCTAAATATCTGATATGCAGGATGTATTTTCAGGGGTCACGACCCACAGGTTGAGAACCGCTGCTAGAGCAAAGTGAGCCTGGAGCAAGTTACTGTTGCAGTGGGGGATGGAGGGAAAGCAAAGGTGAGAGACATAAGTAAAATCAGAGTGTCTAGGAAAAATTAAAGGGTTAAAGGGAAGCTATCCTAAAACTTCCAGGAAATCTCCACCAATGAAGCAAAGAAAAAAAAATGCCTCTATTATTCTGTGAGCAACAAACCAAACTGAGTTGGGGTCTCAGACAATTCACTCACATGATGGCAAAGACAGACAGAAACTCCAGGATTGGAGAGGGCTCCCCTGAGGGCTCCCAGATTGGAGAGGGTGGCAGGTCGGGCTGAGGGATCCCCACACTCCCCAGTGCATGAATATCATGCACCGGGCCTCTAGTTATTTCATAAAAGGACACGTAACAGATGTTAATAATTTAAGCTGCACTGTAAATGTGGAATTTGTGAATGAAATAATAACCAAGCCCAGCCCACCCGACAGACTGCAGAAGTCCTATATTCCAAAACACTGATCCCAGACACAAGCTGAGGAAGCAAATGCTGTGAGGGACACAGCCCAAAGCTGGACAGGAGGCTGCCTCAGAGCCACAAGGCAGTTCAGTACCACGGCGCAGCCAGGTCATTCGTGCAGGACTTTGCATGTACAGGGCAGAGTACAGAGAAGGGTTGTTTCTACCATTCTGATTTTAGACTCTGTATTTAATAATCACCGTGATTGATTAGTAAATTATCACTTAATATGAGTGCTTGTGTATACAATTAAAACTTTGAAATGCTATGATGATAAACTGAATATGCACACAGTCCCTGACCAACCAGGGAGGCACGGGTCCTTCTGTTCCACACTGGACATGCAGAGTGGACCCAATGCGCAAACACTGGGGGCTGAGCTGGGCCATGCCTAGTAAGCTACAGTTAGTGTACCGTCCGATTAGGATCTACAATGGCTTTGAAAACCACTCATCAATAATTGTTTCAAGCATAGCTACCATTTCAGGAGATGATGTAGTGGCCCCTTTTCAGGCTGCATCCCTCAGCTGTACCACTTATCCCTGCTCCACTTTCCTAGGGATCTAGTCTGGGTTAGACAAAAGTGACTGCTAATAGTTTAATTGGGGAAATTAATTCAAGCAGATATCTTAACCCAGGTGAAACTGCACCTCTTAAGGAGCTCCTAAAGCATCGACGCTAATGTGGATCTTGGGGTGCATAAGCCGCCAAGACTGCACACTTCGTTATGTCAAACAGGTTTCAATGATGTGTTCAAGGCAATATCTGAAACTGGCAACTGGAACCCAGATGGCAGCTGAATCAGGCATTTGCACTCATAAAGCTTATGGGTACTGTCATCACAGGCTAGTCCAGGTATAAATTACGAGCCTGTGTAAAGATATTTAAGCCAGGAAAACCAGTTTTTACAAACACTTGTAGCAGGGAATAAAAGGGAACGAATTAGAAAGAGGGCAAGAATACTCACGAAGAGCCTACACTTAAATTTCAGGCAGCAATTTAAGAACCTGTTTTTGGATTATAATCATTAGACCTTTCCTGTTTCACTTCTTCAAAGAAGGGAACCAACAACAACATATATACTATAGTGCCTCTCATGTAGGGAAATGTGGGCCAAGTTCATGCAGTTACCTCTAGCACAAAACCACTCCAAAACACAACTGGTAAACATTATAAATTAGTGACAAGTAAAAACGCAGAAATGACCTTCCTTGTAACTTTACATCTAAAAAGTTCATTTTAAAATTGTGTTAGTTCAGGCCCTAGCCAGTTTGGAGCAGTGGAGACAGCGTCAGCCCATGGACTGAAGAGTTTGAATGCAGTCAAGGGCTCATATCTCAGTTACAGGCTCGATCCCCAGTCTTGGTCATGATGGGGCGTGCGGGAGGCAACCAATTGCTGTCTCTCTCTCACATCGATGTTTCTCCCTCTCCCCGCCGCTTCCACTCTCTCTAAAATTCAATGGAAAAAATATCCTCAGGTGAGGACTAACCAAAAAATAAAATTTAATAAAATAAAATTGTATTAGTTAAGGTTTTCACAAAGAGTAGGTGACACAGCGGGACTGAGTGGCCAAGAGTGTTACTGGGAGAAATGCCGCAGGGACGGCAGGCTGTGTGCACACCTGCCCCAGGGAGCAGGGGCACTCAGACGGCAGTGCAGTGGGAGAAGGTTTTCACCAGACGGACGGAGTCCTCCAGCCACTCACTGTCAGAAGCTCCTCCTGTCCCAGGAACAGGCTTGCCCTCATACCCTCGCTGTGCTCAGCAAGAGGTGGTGGCAGTCCATGGGAAGTGTGGCATCAGCAAGAACACGTGGTGGGGTCAGAGCGCTGAGCCAGAGCTGCTCATCAATTAAATGCTTTGTAGTAGGAGATCCCAGAGGCTCCTTTCGTTGCTGTCACATAAATCTAATGCTCATAAACCATTTCAGTGATTATGTGACAGATGGTACAGTATGGGTTTTTCACACATGAACTGAAAACTAAACACTCCCCAAAAGTAAAAGGTTTAAAGATTTCATCGAAGTGCAATAGGTAAAATCTTATAAATAAATATAGGTACCAGCCTTTAACCATTTTTTAATATTTCAATTATTGTTGACATTCAATGTTATTATAGTTTCAGGTGTACAGCATAGTGGTTAGACATTTATACAACTTATAAAGTGACCCCCCCCCAATAAGTCTAGTAGTACAATATTATTTGCTATATTCTCTATGCTGTACTTTACATCTCTGTGACTAGTCTAACTTCTTCCTTTTTTTTAAGAAAGTGCAAGGGAGGAGGGGAGAGATAGAGAGAAACATCGATATGAGACACACTGATTGGTTGCCTCCCACACGCACCTGGATAGGGGTCAGGGATCAAGCCTGCAAACCCAGGTACCTGCCCTTGATCTAGAATCTACCCCGAGATCCTCCCATGCACAGGCTGACACTCTAACCACTGAGCAATGCCAACAATCCCTTCACTTGCCCTCCCATCCGCCAACCTTCCTCCCATCTGGCAATCATCAGTTTGGCCTACACCTATTTTTAACAAGTTGTTCTCCTTGATATTAAACTAAAACATTAAAAACAATTGCTTCTATTCCTAAAAACAGTCCCTAAAGCTTAAGTACTATAAAAAAGTCATTAGCAAAAAAATCAAAATGACCCACTAGCTTTACTTTTTCTCTTGACAATTAAACAACTCAAAACTAGCCCTGATCAGGTAGCTCAGGTGGTTGAAGCATCATCCTGATCCCCAGCTAGGACACATGCAGGAGGCACACAATGAATGCATGAATGGGTGCAGCAACAAAATCTCTCTCTCTCTCTCTCTCTCTCTCTCTCTCTCTCTCTCCCCTCCCCCGCCCATCTCTCTCCATCTAAAATTAGTAAATAAAAATTTTTATAAAGTCAAACTTATTTAAAAACCCACAAAACTTTAAAATGATAAAGAGGAAATGATAGTTCAGATCATGCCAAAGACCACATTAAAAGAAAAACCATGTGCTAGCTATTTTATTTCCTTATTATATGAAATTTCAATTTTCTGCCCTCAGATTGTGTTGAATCTATTTGTAATGATACCAAACACTGATTTAAAATTCATGGTAATTTTCATTAATATTATTTATTTTCATTTTCAAACAGCACAGAGAACCAGAAATATCACATTTTACTTATGGGACAATGGGGCGGGGGGCGGATTTGGGGATGAGGCCAATAATTCTTTAGCCACTCAAAATATCAACAATTCACTAAACTGACACTTTACATCACTAAAGACATTTTCAAAGTCTCCCCAAATGGCAGCGGTCTGCTGTGAGGGAGGCCAGGCAGCTGTGAGCATGCTGTGCAGCACTACAGTGACATATCCGCTTCTCCCGCAGATACCGAGCTGCTCAGCCAAGGGAGCCACGTTCCAAGTAATGCCAGCGATGGCCTCGGAAGGAATACCACCCTTAACAACGAGTTCGACACCATCATCATGCCTGTGCTTTACCTCGTTGTATTCGTGGCAAGCCTCTTGCTGAATGGTCTAGCAGTGTGGATCTTCTTCCACATTAGGAATAAAACCAGCTTCATATTTTATCTCAAAAACATAGTAGTTGCTGACCTCATAATGACGCTGACATTTCCATTTCGAATAGTCCATGATATAGGATTGGGACCATGGTACTTCAAGGCCATCCTCTGCAGATACACCTCAGTTTTATATTATGCAAACATGTATACTTCCATCGTGTTTCTTGGGCTGATCAGCATTGATCGCTATCTGAAGGTGGTAAAGCCATTCGGGGACTCTCGCATGTACAGCATAACCTTTACGAAGGTTTTATCCATTTGTGTTTGGGTGATCATGGCTATTTTGGCCTTGCCAAACATCATCCTAACAGATGTTCAACCAACTAAAGAAAATATTCATGAATGCATGAAACTTAAGAGTCCCTTGGGAGTCCGATGGCATAATGTAGTCATTTACCTCAAAAGCTGCTTGTTTGTGGCTGTGCTGGTGATCCTGATTGGGTGTTACATAGCCATATCCCGGTACATCCACAAGTCCAGCAGGCAGTTCATCAGCCAGTCAAGCCGGAAGCGGAAACATAACCAGAGCATTAGGGTGGTGGTGGCTGTGTTTTTCACCTGTTTTCTACCATATCACTTGTGCAGAATTCCTTTTACTTTTAGTGACTTAGACAGACATTTAGATGAATATGCACACAAAATCCTGTATTACTGCAGAGAACTGACACTTTTCTTGTCTGCGTGCAATGTGTGCCTGGACCCAATAATTTACTTTTTCATGTGTAGGTCATTTTCAAGAAGGTTATTCAAGAAATCAAATATCAGAACCAGGAGCGAAAGCATCAGGTCACTGCAAAGTGTTAGAAGATCAGAAGTCCGCATATATTATGACTATACTGATGTGTAGGAGTTAAAGGCTAGGAGACCTCCCCTTGTATGTTGAAGTCGATATGTACAAATTGCAAATAAATGTTTCTTTTGATTAACCTTGCTTCAGACCATCAAAATATGGATAAACAGAAAACTAAAATGGTATGAAATCTGGGTATAATTTGAAACTACAAAAAACATTAAGGCAGACCAAAAGGTGAGGTAATCAAGAGGTAGTGCAAGGCTGAGAGGCAGGGTTCATGACAGAGCTGAAGGGGCAGAGGCACAGAGAGCTGCAGCAATGTGAGGGCACAGCGGACATCTCCTGGGACACCCTGCTGCTCTGCAGTCACTTTGGGGCAAACAGAAAGTACGGAAGATAACTCCACCTAGCGCTGAAGTTTGATTCGGGAAAGAAAATGCTGTTTTCAATACAATTCATTTATATAACAGTAAATATTGATTCCTTCTATGAATAAGTAGGACCTTTGGCCATCACCCTTTTGCTGTGTTTATCAATGTCATATGCATGTTTTTAAAACTTGTGTAGTGTGGGGGGGGTAGTTGGGAGAAGGTTTGATGACATTTTTTAAGTAATGTATTTGAAAGATTGAATTCAATTAACTGATTTTAAAATTAGGTTATTTTATAGAAAGAAAAGTGTGGCTGAATATTAGGGTGAAACACTGAACTTTGTTATTATTACGTACCTGTTCTGCATTTAAATACTTGTGCTGAGGGTAGAGAAGAGAATATGGAAGCTTGGCTGATAATTGAGTATATGTAGTTTATCAAAAGCCAATTTTTAGAAAATTATTAGTGAAATACTCTTCTTTTTAAGCTTTAATAATGATATCATTCATTTAAAAAGATAACCTTAGGTTGAAAAATAGAGTTCAATAAATCAAGTGCAAAAAGTACAAACAACCCTCTAAATCTTACAATATTTTCCCCTTAAGAAAAATCCTTGAGCCTTCACTCCAAAGCCTCCAGCTGCTAGAGTACTGCTCAAGTGCCTGATTTGTTGCTAAAGCTGATGAGGAGCTGGGGAAGCATGAAGGGAGGCGGGGTAGTGACGGCACATTTGCTGACAAAAGAGGACATTATAGTGAACAGAGATAAAACACACACCCGTAAATGAAAGAACAATACTTTATTTAAACTCTTTTAAACTATCTGCAAAATTATAAAAAAAAAAACTAAGGTGCGCAAAAGAGGGAACAAGAATAACTTGGCTGAACAATGATAACCCTCAGAAGGTACAAGAACAGAATTCGGGGACTGCTAATTGTCCAGAAGGTGAGTCAGGTTTGGCAAAGGGATTGGTAGTGAAGGAGTTAAAAGAATTATCTGAGAATCTCTATCCAAGTATCCATCTCTCCATCAAGATTCTAATTCCATGAATTCCAGGGACACTTCAATATGCGAATATATTCACCTCACTTGGTTATTTGAATAGCCACTTCCCTCCCCCAACTGTGTGCCACTAGCTAGGTTAAGACTGCCATGCTTTACACCAGCTAATGTGAAAAAAAGTTTGAAAAGCTAATTATTTTCTCTGCTTTCCCCATATTACCGAGGATGAATGGCAGGTAACCTATATAAAGTGAAGGGAGCAGTATTGAGGCTGGAAAAATACCCTCAGCATAACATCCTATCCCTCCATTCCCTGTTTCTTTCCACTACATCACAGGTCCCAAATACCTCAAAAATGATATTACCCTCTTCACTATGTATGTATGTGTGTATATATGACATATAAATGCATGATCACTTAGAACCCCTTAATTAAGAATCTACCCTCTTTAATAGCATCAAATGGCTCCATTTAGCACTCTGGAATTTACCAAACACATCTCTACCCCAGACCTCAACTCTGAGGTCTTTAAAACATTCCAATTGTATTTTAATGATTCTATAATTGGAACACTGTATAGTGAGCACATTTAATGTTATACTGATTTTATTCTCTGAAACCAGAGGCCCGGTGCACAAAATTCTTCCCCAGGAGGGGGGCGGGGTGGTGTCCCTCAGCCTGGCCTGCGTCCTTTGGCAATCTGGGACCCTTCAGGGGATGCCAGGCCTTAACCAGTAGTCGGACATCCCTCTCACAATCCAGGACCCTGCATGCACCAGGGACCATACTTTTTTTTTCATACAGGTGAAAGGCATCTTGCTGTTGTATGGGGAGCCACGTTTTTTTGCCCTGATTATAAAAAGTAGTACATAACATGATCCTTCTGAGGGAGTAATACCATTTTCCCCATCTTATGGGTGGAAAAACTGAAGCAGAGAGAAGTTAATTGGCTTTGTCACACAGTTATAAAGTGTCAGAATCTGCAAACCAGAGTCCAAGCATGTCATCGCTGCATCATCCTGTTTTTTTCAGTGTTAGAGTAGCTTTGCCAGGTTTTAATTTTTAAATCTAAGAGACTGTTCCCAATATATAGGGTAGGGTCCCTAGGCCTGGCTGGAGATCAGGCCCATCTGTGGGGCGACCAGAAGGCCCCACTGGCACCTGCCTTGGCTGGTGGCCTGGCGCCGCTCCACCCACCCTCCCACCCCCATCGCTGCTGTGGCCAGCCCTGTCCTCCTCCCCGCATCACTGCCACCAGTCGCCTCCCTCTTCAGGGGGAGCGTCTGCCCCCTGGTGGTCTGTGTGCGTCATAGCAACTGGTTGTTCCGCTGGTCCTTCTGCTGTTTGGTCGATTTGCATATTAAAGTTTTATTATATAGGATTACATCATTGTATTAATGGGACATCTTATAATACTATCTCCATTCAAAATAAATTGTGTTACAAAAACCATCAAATTCATACTGCTTATGTTTCACATCAAGGCCCATATTCTGGTCACAAAAGTTATTTATCCTGGTCAACCAAGAATAAATTATTTACATGAGTAAAACATTATCAATAGAAATATTAAATATTTGCTCATGTTAGAAGCTAGTACAAAATACATTAGTACTGAAAATTTTTAAATCAATTGCTAATTTGGAAATAACCTGAAATCTAACATTTCTTACATGGAGCTTTTGAAAAATATTCAGTATTGCAGGATCCTCTCAGAAAGTAATAAATAACATAGTTGTTCTTCCTATATGCCCTTGAGAAACATATTCAGTCAACTTCAAAAAAGAAAATGTTTCTATTCTTTCTAAAACTTACATTCAATGAAACTGATATGTAGAAAATATTTTGGTGTATGTCTTACTCTCTGTATTCATTATCCTATTCACACCATTCTATTCTCATTTCCAAACAGTACACCAGTAGTTTTCCTCAACCACAGCTTTAAGGGAATGCTAACTAGGAAAATTCATAAACTTAGATTAAACAGCTAAAGCAAAATTGTGTGTGTGCAGGTGCACACATGTGTGCACAAGAGTCTACAGCCTAAACATAAAGAAATTTTATGATAGCCATGGGGAAATGTGATATACCAGGAAAAAATAAAGAAATGTGATATGTTAGGAAAAAAAATTAAGAAAACAAAGACAAAATAAACTTTGGGGTCCCTTAAATTTTATAAATATTTTCCCCAGAATAAATACAAGAAGATAGTTAATAAATACTTATTAGGCATTTACCATGTAAAAAAAATACATTGTGTTCAACATGATACTTAAAATAATCTTTGATATCCCTAAGTGAATTCTAAAAGTAAATATTTCTTAAGATCAAACATTTTCACATTTCAACGGAATGCAAGCATCTCATAGATGCAGACTTATTTAACACTAGAGGCCCGGTGCACAAAAATTTGTGCACTCGGGGGTGTCCCTTAGCCCGGCCTGTGACCTCTTGCAGTCTGGGACCCCTTGGGGGAAGTCCACCTGCTGGCTTAGGCCCGCTCCCCGGGGGATCGGGCCTTAGCTGGCAGTCAGACATCCCAGGAGCCCTTGGGGGATGTCCACTTGCCAGCGGGGACCAGGTTTAAGCTGCAGTAGGACATCCTTAGCACTGCTGAGGAGGCGGGAGAGGCTCCCACCATCATTTCTGTGCTGGCAGCCGTCAGCGTGGCTTGTGACTGAGCAGAGCTCCCCCTGTGGGAGTGCACTGAACACCAGGGGGCAGCTCCTGCATTGAGTGTCTGCCCCCTGGTGGTCAGTGTGTATCATAGTGACCAGTCATTCCCAGTCGTTCTGCTGTTAGGGTCAATTTGCATATTACCCTTTTATTATATGCCTGGTGCATGGGTGGGGGCTGGCTGGTTTGCCCTGAAGGGTGTCCCAGATCAGGGTGGGGGTCCCGCTGGGGTGCC